GGCCCTTGTCTTCTTCTCCTTCCCAGGGCTGAGCGAGAGAGACCGGCCCCAGGTCACCCAGATGGCTTCATGCCTAAGGCAGGACTAGAACCCACCATCTCCCGGTTTCTAGCTTGGTCCCTTCCATCAACCTGGAAGGCACATAGAAGGCACCTGGGCTCTTTAGCTTCCCCCCACCCCGTGGAGAAAAACAAGATCAGCCCTTTGACTTGGGAACTCGTTAACAAAACAGAAGACAGATCAGTTGATTCACACACTTTTGTTAGTCACATGTCGATCCCAACTTGCCTTTGAGGAACACATAGGCGCATATGTGGTTTCCTTTTCAGAAGCTTCCTCCTCACCATGGCCCTGTGAGGAAGATAAGGCTGAAGGATGGGGAGCAAAGGCCTCAAGGCGTTCACTGAGCCATGGGGATTTGAATCCGGATCTCCAGCTGCTGCCGTTGGTTGCTCTCTGGGCAGTTCCTGGTCAGGGGGACCTACCTTGTACCATCTTCTGAACCGAGGCAAATGCATGCTGGAAAAGGCATCAGGCTTGGATAAATACATGGCGGATGGGGCTTCTTCAGGGCTATTGATCTGGAAGGGTCCATGCTGCCTCTGGGTTGGGAACACGCTGCCCTGGAACAGTAATGGGAGAGGGGAACATCTCCATCTCCTGCTTTGAGCACCTCAGAAGCATCTGGTTGGCTTCTAAGAGACTAAGATGAGCCTTAGCTGAGTCCAGGAGAGCAGAATTCCTTTTCTGAGTACTCTGTGGTGGACATTTGTTTTAGGGGGTACAGCAGAAACCCAGAGTCACTTGTACCTCCGTTCTGAACACAGTTCACCAACTTCTCTCTTCCCGTTCACCAACTGCTCTTCTAATATATCTCTGCATCTTGGCAAAGGAGAGCCCTCCTGGGCCTGGGTGATAACCACGGCTTCTCTGCCAGCGGCTGTTATTTCGGCTTTACTGGGTTTCTCGAATGAGAAACTTGCTGCTGTTTCCGATATCCCCCGATGCTCTCAACGGGCCCTGGGTTAGAAAAACAGGTGGCCGATGTGATACATTTTGTGGGATTTGGAGTTGCTTCTATGGTTCATCCAGCAGCAGGACAGAAGACCAGCACAGCAAGCGACTATCTCCTGCCAGCAATTCCATCAAGCGACCCAAATTATCTTCTCTTCCCATCATAAAAACGATTGCATCTTTAAGACCTTGACCTGTATTTTTTTTTTTGCCCTCCTCCCTCCCCATTCCTTTTCCTCCTATGTCATTCTGGAATGCTGCTGTTGGAAACAGAATGTTCCAATGTAATAACTCCAGTTCTCAGCCCCATAAGCTGGAGATTTGTGACATCCGCAGTTGTTCTTTTTCCAGCTTGAAGCTCTGGAGCTGGATTTTGCACAATACGCTACCCCAAAACCGAACATCACACATGACAGCATGTTCTGTGGTGGCTTATAAGCCATGCTTTGGGGTGCAAAACTAGCCAACGTTGGTTTATGCAATCAACTGTGGTTAAATATGGCTTAATATGTTGTACAAACGAAGCCTCAATGCATGGAAAATGCATTTACGGATGAGGGAAACCAGGGGCCATTTGGACTACTGGAAAAATATAAGATTGAGGGCACACTGGAATCAGGGAGCACAATGACCAACATTAGACCAGCCCCTCCAGTTCCCATCATTTCTGCCCATCTTCCTTAGGCTTATACTGTAGTTAAAATCCTCTCTGCAGAAGTTGCTTGTTCCTTCCTGTGATGTTTTTCTGGCCAGGTGGCAGAAGCCTGAGGTGGAAATCAGCTCTTGCTAGATCCTTCTCCAAACTGCCTTTTGCAAATGCAGACGTGATTGGTCAACAGGATTGCCAAGCCACCTGGCATTTCAAAATAGAACCAGGCCCTGTATCATGGGCAGTGGGGAGGAAGGAGAGGGCCCAACCCTGCATCTGTGGGGCCATCTTAACCTGGAAGAGGACAGTAGAATAGGTGACCCCATTCATTAGCCTTCAGACTAACCTTTGACACGTTTCTGGAGGAGTTGGCCTCGTGGTTGGTTGGAATTACTCTGTTGGATGGTGCTGGGCCCCACGTGGTTTACAATTAACACCTGCGGTGGATTTTCTGCTTTTATGGACAGAAAGAGGGAAGAAGGAGTTTTAATGCAGATGAGGAAGTGCTCTCATCTGCGTTAGGCCAGAATCTGCAATGGTGTGACCCGCTCGCCAAGTCCCCATAGCTCAACTTTCCTTCAGATCCTCTGCAGATTGGTGAGAACTACAACTCCCAGAATTTCCAGCCAGCATAGCCATTAGCAGTACAAAATACTCAAAGACCGACCACTCACAGTCTCATCCCTGCCAACTTCCTGAGGCCCAGCAGTGTTACCATAGTTGCAAGCCAACCTAATTCAGAGCTAGGAAAACCACATCTCCCCAGGTGTTGTTGGACTCCAATACCTATTAGTTCCAGCACCATGGTGCTTGGTCAAGGATAATGTGCCTTACAAAGGAAGGCCATTGGTTCTTCACCCTGTTCTAGATCTCTGCAAAGAAGCCCAAAGTCCCCCATTAGGTCACGTTCTACCTGTTTGATGTCCAACAGGAAACTTGAGTTTTGTGGTAACTGGAAAGATGTGGGAAAGATCACCTACAGCGCTATCTGGGGATGTGACTGGTGGCATCTGGCTTCCTGAACCATTGCTGTCCTGACTGGAGGGGGGCCAGTGTTTCACTTGCAAAATCTGTAAGATAGGAGATTAAAAAAAGATCTGGATCCAGATTGCTTTTGTAAGGTAAGGATTTCTGATAGTGCTAATAAACAAATGGTGTTGGCTGGTTGGGATCCTGATCTGCAGAAATGGTGATTCCAGGTCATCTCAGTATAGGTGTTATTATTGAACTTACCTGTCACCTTCTTCTCTAAGAACTTAAAAGTGGCACTGATAGGGATCTCCCCTGATTGTATCTGCACAACAACCCTGTGAAGTAGGTCGGGATGAGAGACCAGTGCAACGTCACCTACTGAGCTTCCTGGATGAGTGGAAGCTTCCTGGTCCAGGTCCAGGTCCACTACACTACACAACACTGCCTCGCTGTATATGTTTCATATGTTGTGATAGATAAGGAATGTTGTCCTCTGAATTTTCATCCCTCTGACACCATCCAGCCATTCTTTTACACTTGGATTGGTTAGTGGATTTTGGGTTCCATTGGCAATGGGAAGTCTACTTTGCTGTTGCACAGTAACCTTCTTAAGGCTGGCATTACTTAAGAAATGCACATACTGTATTTGTGCAATTTAGATACATTGCAGCAATCTCACTTTCACTGGGAGCTATCCCTACTGACCATGATGTAGCCACCATTCCATCCACAATCTCATCTGAATTCTAGGTCCATGCTATGCTCATTCTTTGTAAAGCCAGCTTACCCTGGGAGAGAGAGATTCAAGAGATCCCTTCTTCTCAGTTTTCCTTTCCCAGGACTGCTCTTTGTCTCCTTCATTCTGAACCCGGTGGTGTGTCCATACTTTCCTCTGGAACATTGCTCCAAGGCTGTTGATGGTGGCCATGCCTTTGGAGCGATGTTCTGGAGTGAAACTGGGCTGCTGCAGTTCCAGCTCCTCCTCCCCAAAATAGTGTGTGGAGGAGATCTCCCTGCCAAGATCTCTCTCCTGGACCTGGGATCGACGGCGGGCGGCAATCAGAGCAATCTGTTTGGTGCTGTCAGCCATCTCCTTCAAAGTTTTCAGACTCAAGGGGCCACTGGGAACATCTGCACTGGACTTTTTCCGACCAGAACCTTGGGAAGATGAGGAACGTAGCTTGGAGGCAAGCTTTGGTGAAGGGATGCCTGGAGCCTTTTTCTGGAAACCAAAGTGATCAAAAAGGCAACATTTGCACATGCTTCATTTCAAAAGTTATTCTGCAAACCTGGCTGATTATGGACCAAGGATGTCATTTACGCCTTTCTTTGATACTCAAATCTGCTGAGTTTCCCCCATGGGCCAAATCTTGCTACCAGATCCCTGCAGACCATTAGCTTCTGAAATTGCTTTTTGATTTAAGCACTCTTCTCCAGCATGAAGACTGCTTCAACTCCTGCTCTGTTTCTCTGGCTGTGGTCTTAAAACTTGACCTTGCTTGGTGCTGACTTCATTGCTTGCAAGGCTGACTCTACCGTAACGCAAAATGAAGTGGCCACCTTAAGTAGCAGAAGCTCTGGAAGAGAGACAAAAATGGCATGGGATGCCTGGTTCCTTAAGCTACAAGTTTCCCTAAAATGTATTCTGAGCTTTTCCTTTTTGTATTGAAACAGCCAAAGGAGCTATTTGCCCTCCAACTCAGGCAGCTGATAATCCTTCTGATCCTTGTTTCTTGCCCTGAATCTTGACTCCTGCCTCTTTTCAACCACATAGCTCTTTCAGAAAGAATTGGGCTTGCAGTAAATTCATGGCATATACCGGCTCCCCAAAATCCTAACTCTGACAGATGGATCCCAACGAGAATTAAGAGATTATAATTTCCATATATATCTCTTCTTTGAACTCCTGGGTCAAAGCAAGCAAACGAAAATGAAGCAGAGCAATCAAAGAGGTGCTTTGGATAGACTGACCTGGTGGACCGGCGTTGTTAACAAATGAAACAAAGTAGGAGTGTAATTCCACTCGTGCGTCACCTTTCTTTTTGCTGGGGTGTTTTTAGAGGATGACCGGTAACTGTCACTAAGAAAACGCAAAGCAGAATGCAAACATGAACCATTGGCAGACACAGTAGCCGATTCCCTTGGGGAAGGAGAGCTAGTCTTTGGATTATTCATAGGCACTGTTGGGTAAACCCAACAGAAATCAGATGGAAAGTTGGGATTCTTTAATTAGGACCATGGGAAAACTTTCTGAAGCCCTGCAAAAGTAAGATATGCTGGCTGGGGAATTCTGGGAGTTGAAGTCCACATATCTTAAAATTGCTAAGGTTGAGAAACACTGACCTAGAGGGAAGCTCCACAATATTCCCTTTAGGAATTGGGTCCATATCCAACTTGATAGGTGCCATCAGAGCGTTTCTGGAATTGACTTTTGCTCTAGAATAGAACCTTTCCTCTCCCTACTAAAAGTTGCCAGTACCTGTCTGAATCCACAACAATTGAGGAAAACTCAAATTTTGGCCCCGGAAGGAAACCTTTCCTGTGATCGACGGATCCTTTCTGATTCTCCTCTCTGTTGCGGTCTTGTCTCTGAATCTGTCCAGAATGGAACTACCCCAGAAAAGAAGAAAAACAAAAGCTTAGTTTATCAGCTGATGGATGCATCCTCCTGCAAAGTTGACATTACCTAGCATTATTTCCACATCACTGACTTAAGATCATTGGATTAATCATTTACCTTTCCTGATGATGTTTTTTATGGTTGTAATTTGGAAACTGGGCCTAGGGGTTGAAAAGAAAGTTTTCTGCAATGCCCCCCTTTTACAGCTGCAAAGAGAATTTTGGTGGCATGGTATGGGGAAAGCAATATAAGCTTGTAAGGCAGGGACATTCAAGACACCAAGAGTTAAACAAGGAACACCCAAGTGCTTATCTGTACTCCATTATGAGTTTCCTCAAATAAATACACAAAGGAATGGGATTACACTCTAAGACAATTGTGATGTTATGATTTCAGATGAGGTTTTCTTCAGCAATCAGCCTCTCTCATTTCATAGTCCCTACCTCCTGAATGGCATGTCCCCAGTCAGCTAGGTGACTGTGAGCAAGTTACTTCTTTCAGTTGCCTCTCTCGCAAAGTTTGGTGAAGATCAAATGGGTGGAAGGGAAGAGGAAACCACTGATGACACTTTGAACTTCTTGTTAAGCAGAACATGGATCTCTCAGCAGGGTGGGAGCTCACTTCAAAAAGTGGATTGGACAAGGATGCCGCCCCCCAAATGGGTCGAAGTTAGTTTTAACTTTAAGCAAGTAAAATATCCTTTTTAGGAACATTTTCCATGTCTATGTTCATCTAAATCTGAGGATAACTGCAGCCTTCCTTAAGGGCTCTGGGGATGGTGGGTGTTCCTGAGGATCAAAGTTGTCTTTCCCTTCTCTAGATGAGTGTGGATTCTTCTTGCTGGCAAACTGGTTAGATAGATAGCAGAGGTTCCACACAGGACTTTCTGCACGCAAGATGTGGGTTTTCTCCTTGGAAGAACAACTTCTCCTACTCCCCTCCCTCAGGAACTCCTGTTTCAAAGAAATAGGGGAGAATTCTGCCTTACCTGCCATGCACTGGACATCAGTGAGTGAAGCACGAGCAGGTGATCCAGAGTCCCTTCCTCTAACTCATGGAAATACAGGCGGTATAGTTTTTCCAGTGGTTCCGGGACTGGAATATTGTGGTCTACAGAAAAGGCAGAAAGCTTCAAGAGTTGATGCCCCCAAAGAGATGGCCAAATTCGCTGAGAAACAAAGCATCCACAGTGACTATGAAGATAGGGCTAAGGAAGCAGCAAAATCCCCTTTGGGGAGTCATGTCTAGTGTTTCCAATGCAGTGCGGCTGGAAGCTAAAGAAAAGCATGATCAGAGAAAGCTATTGAGGGATCATCATGGAAGTTCCAGACTTACCTTTGATCAGTGACCACTGCTGTTGAATAAGCTCTTCACAGAGATGCCGGTACTGCAGGTGGCACTGGATGACAAAATCCTTCTGGCAAAGGAGGTTCTCTTTGTACAAAGCATTGGCTTGAAGCTCTGTGTTCCCCACTTCCAACTCATGGGTCTTGCACAAGAGCCTCAGAACTTCCCGTTGGTCCTTGCTGGTGGTCTGTTTTGGTAGCAGCTTCTCCATCTGGGAAACTTTCTTCTTGGCATTCACCAACCTCTGCTCCAGATCAG